CCAAGAGGGGTGCATTTATAGAAAGTTGACTGTAAATCAGTTATATTATAATATATTATAAAAATTATTTTGCTAATTAATTAATCATAATTTATTTTATAGATATTCCAAATTTTCAACATGAAGAAGATGAAGAAATTGGATTAAGTGATAGTGATGAAGAAAATAACCCAAAACTTGATAATCTAAAGCAATTAACATCACATTGCCATCATACTCTATCTAAAACAGTAGCTTCAACTATTCAGCCTGCTCAAGATATTCTTAAAATAATGAAAAGAATCATTTATATTTCATTGTTTTTCTATTAAGATAAACCTATAATGATTGGTCTTTTAATATCTCTTTTAGATCTAAGGCTGAAAATACTCTCTAATTAGAATGAAGAAACATGTGACAAGGCAAAAACAGAATTAATACATCAATTTAAAGAATTAATTGATTTAAGCTCAGAACAATCATTATCATCATCTGATAGCTTAAGCTAATAACAATACCATAGCCGATTGCATTTCTCTATTTTTGTTATATAGGTACAACAGCAAATCTTTTTTTTAAATTAGAATGTTATTTAGATCCTATTCGTATACCTATTGCTGATCATAGTGTGAATCTATTTCAGTGGTAGGCAATTCAGAAAGCTCAGTTTCCTAATGTAGCTAAATTAGCTAGAAAGTATTTATCTATTCCCGGTTCATCAGTATCTAGTGAAAGATTATTTTCTGACGCGATAATCAATTTACTGCAAAACGTACATGTTTAGATTCAAAATTAACAGGTAAGATGATATTTTTAAAGAGAAATTTAACCACAATTCATATGTTTTAGTTAGAGTTTTTCACTTTATTAATAGAATTATAAATCAAAATTTAATAAAAATTTCTTAAATCTGTTATAAATTTATTTTATGTAATAAAATTAAGTCAATCACTAAAATAACTTTATTTGACAAATAAGAAAAAAATAGATATTGTTAATAAACTGTTTCAAATATTATGTTAACTACCATCTGATTTTAACTGAATATTCAATTTCAAAAATTACATAGGTATCTGGGTGACTATTTATGACATGGTTCCAATCTCTAATATTTATTAGTTAGTAAATCATATATTGATTTTTATTAAATTTAGGGCTAAAAAAAAATGGTTGACGACTCATTTTTAATATTTGAAATAAAATGTAAAAATGCTTATGAAAAGAATATTACAAGTGTTAAAACTAAATATGTAACAAACGCGTTAAAGCTTTGCGAATTTTAAATAATTTTTAAAAAAGATCATCATAAACATCAAAAGATTTTAACAGTATATGTATTTTTTTTAAAATGAATTTTTTTCAAATTTAAGTATTAGATTTAAGCTATTTTTCTTTTTTTATTTTTTATCACTATATAAACTATAATAAATTATATCAAATTTTTTCCTGGACATATAAAATTAAATCACGTGATTCTGCAGCATATACTACCAGGGAGGATAGACTCTTATATGAACATAATATTAAGTAATATCTGATAGTACCCTTATCACTTTGGATATTATTAAATGATGAAGTATAGTTGTCATTAAAGATAGCGCTGCAACTAGTTGCAACCATGTGATACTTATTTGTTACCGGTTGCAACTAGTTGCAACTCAATTTTTATTAATGTTACAATTAGTTGCAATCTGTGATGCTTATTTGTCACTGGTTGCAACCAGTTGCAGTGCCATCTTTAGTTGTCATCATTGTGAAGATATTATAAACATGAAATTTATAGAATGTGAACTCTTTTTTAGAAAGATTAGAAAGTGGTCGAATATCCTTACTTTAGAAGAAAAGGATAATTCCAGTAGAAGAAAATGAAGTACTATAGGAAATAGAAACAACAAATTTTAATGCTTGGTAATATATAATAAAATAACAAATTCATTTGCGTCAATAAAAAATTAAATGACATATTTTGTAAAATTTGCTTTTAAAGCGATTAGTTTAAATAATAATTTTTTTTATTTGAGATTTGGCTAACGGTAACTGCAATTTCAGTCTATTACTATAAGTAAAGAAACCTTTCTTATAAAACTCTCTGAAACATTAGATCTCATTGGATCTTATTAGCTCAATTGAAGAGACAACTTTAAAGACCTGATTATTTAGTAATTGTGGTGAATCTCATTTGGATGATCATTATTTAATTGAACCTTATATATAAATTATTGTGTAATGATTATTACTTTGTTTACTATGATTTATTAATTTTTATGTTATACAAAGCAATGTTGGCAAATTTCAAGGTTATTTCACTTTTTTTGAAGTGACCTAGGTCACTTTGTATATGATCACGTGATAGATTTCATAGTAAAATCATCACATGATTAGATCATTTTAAGGTCAAGGTCATTTTACCAACACTGGTGCAAAGAGTTTATGATTGAATTTTATTTATAATATTTTTGTTATGAGAAGTATTATTATTTTGATTAGTTTCAGTTGTATTCATAAAAGTATATACCGTACCATTCTGAAATAAAGCAACCCCCTGAAAATAAGCAACCCATCAATTAGTATAGATCTGAAAATAAGCAACCCATAAATTCCACATGATAATCAAATATAATAAACATTAAAAATAGCATTAAATTTATTAATATATATTTTTATTATAAAATATTAATTAGTCTAAACTACAGTAATTAGTAATATTATTCATTATCATTGCTATCGCCATCATCACTATCATCATCATCACTATCACCACAATCATAATCATCGCCATCACCATCACCACTATCATCATCATCATCGCCATCATCGCCACCAATAATATCATCACTAGAATCTTCATTATCATCATCCGATATGCTCAAAGAAGTCGAAATCTTGCAAGTCTTGAAAGACTTTAATAACCATTTCGTTTGGAATTCCTTCCCAAGTATGTTTGACCCACCCACAAATATCAGATAACCTAGTATGACGAAGGTTTCCTGATGTGGTTACTCCTGCATCACCTCCTGCTATTCAGATATACCATTCCTTACGAAAATTGTCTTTAAATAGTTTATTAATTGTTACATCAAGTGGTTGACATATGCTAGTTAAACCACCTGGAATAATCGCCAAATCGATACCATTATTACAAAACTTGGTTTTAACTGAATCTTCAAGATGTTCTTGAAAAGAATCGTATACCATCATTGTTAAAGCATTATTGATTGTTAAATTATCATTAATGTAATCAACATATTTCTTCATTAAATCAGTATCCATCTATCCGTTTTTCTGAAACCAAACAATAACACTGGATGGAATCTGTTCACTACGTGGTAGTCGTTTGTTTACCTTTAAAGATGCAAATTGGTGGAAATTTTGTACCATCTACAGGATAAAAATTAGATAAAAATAAAGCTAAAAGAAAAAAAACTGTTAAATGGAACTTTACCCACGGCACATGTCAAGACAACCGTGAATCGGTTTTTTTCATTGCCAGTGCTGCGAATATGAATTGTTTTTTCGCTTATAAAATCGATTGTAAAGTTTCCTGCCATGTCGAACCAGACAGGAGTTTCATCCATATTTAAAATGTTAGATAATTCAAATGATTTTTCAGTTCTAAGGTTGATGAAGCTTTTGCGAAACTTTAGTTCAATGTCGCCGAAATAGATTAAATCTTTTCATGAATGCAAACATCCAACGATTTGATGTTTTAAATTCATTTGTTGAATATCCATAAAGACTTTTCATAGCAGGTTCTTTTAAAATATCCAGCATCTTAACTCGCGTGATGGCATATGTAACACCTAAACCCTGCTTCCTCTGCTCAATGATCCAATCATATAGTTTTTTTTCAGCATCTGGGTAAAAGCTTTTTCGGCCAGAACCTATTCGTTTGTGGTTTTGGTTTGGTTCTTTAAACCATTTTTCATTTGAATTAACCCAGCGACTAACTATGCTTTTATTAAGTTCAAAAGTATTTGCCGCTCTAATTATTCCATTTTCCTTAGCATAAGTGACAACTTGTCTCTTTTGCTCAATAGAATATGAATTGCGGCTTCGTTTAAGGGTTTTTTTATTAACAGATATTAGTCTTTTTTGCTTTTGTGGCGACATATTAAGTTTTAAAACAAGTTTAGAAACAAGTTCGTGATTGATCGCGCGTGATTTATTGATCAGGATATCGCGCTACGTTATACAGATGATTATTTTGCGTAACGTGATGACGAAATGTTTATTATGCAGCAATTTTTTCGTTTCTTCTTCTACGAAAGAAAAAGTACCCGAAATTAAGCAACCCTATAGCAAAAAAGGGTTGCTTAGTTTCGGAACTGTACGGTATACCTCAAACTTTCTCAAAAGCTCTCTTAACTCTTTCCTCTTAAAACTATTTTCAATTTATCACAGAACCTTTTTCGAAATAATTATGTCGTTAAATTGTTTGGTTCTAGGCGAAACTTCCTTTAATAAAGCTTTCTCTGTTGACATTTCCGAAGAAAACCGCGTTGATTATAATAAATTAATCAAATTACAGCAATTAAAAATTCCTCACCTCAAAAAGCTTATCTTGAAGGAAAAAGATAATCTTAGTAACGATCTAAATCTATGGAGGGTTGATATCAAACGAGAAGATGGTTGTAAACTTAAAGATGTTTCTACTGAAGAAGACATTAAAGAAAAGCTTTGTGGCAACATGATGATTCCATTAGATTATTTACTGATTATTTTGATCATCCACCTACAGACAGAAATGTTCATATCATCGTAGTCCCCACCACTGGTAAGTGTCTCCCATCGGTTTACCTCTCGAACAAGAAATTGTTAGTAACAAAATATTGAGTTCGGTCTGACGCACGAACTTTTGTTATTTATTTAGTATCGAATATTCCAGATTATTACCCACCAAAAAAAAAAAACTTAAAATAATCAAAGGTACGTTGTAATAATTTTAAGCGCCTATCTTTTGTGCTGAACATAATAATGCTAATCTTCACTTCCCAGCTCCCGAAGGGGAGGATGTTACGAGTATGACATGGAATGAACAATCAGATGGTAAGCTTTTCCTTAAAAGCTTGTTAATTATTATTATTTATTAACATATATTGTACAATAAAGCAATCAAAAGGGCCTTAAATGTATTCTCTAGGCGAATCAGAATTTAAAAAGTTTGTGACTTCGGGTACTTTTGTTGATAAATCACTCTTTATAATGGAGTTTATGATCTATGGACAACGGGCCAATCTGATTACTCGCCCTCGTCGGTTCGGAAAATCAACCAATCTTTCGATGCTTCATACGTTCCTTTCAGTGGATTATCCTCCATTAAATTATAAACCAGACATAAAAAAATCGTTGTTTAGTGAATTAAAAGTTGCTAGATTCGCGAAGTTGTTCTACCAACAGTGGCCCGTGATTCACATTAGCTTCAAGGTAAGCAAGCATGGTGTAACCTACTATTACGTAGTAACAGGACCGGGAAAACTACCCCGCCAAAGTATCAAAAAAAACACATGACTGCGAATCGTAATATGATTGGCTATTTGGCTATTTATTCACCAAGTATAGTAATCTAACCAAGAAAGGAAAGATTGTCACAAAAAAAATTCTTATTGTTGCGAATCAACACGTGATTTTTACTAATTATTTTGGTGGTGACATTTTTTTAAAGTACTTTTCGAATCTAAGCTCTGCGGTGACATTTAATAGAGTTTTCCCGGTTCTGTAGTAACTAACAAGACTTACTTTACTAGGATCTTAACAGTAAATCCTGGGAACAAATGCGAAATAAAAAAAAGAATTTCAGATCTATACAAAGAACATCGATACCTTATTAGCATTCTTCCAGAGGATGATAAAAAAGATTTTGTGAAAATACTCAATGGAACAACAGAAGAATATTTGTCTAATGCCATTTCTAGTTTAGCACGTTATCTTAACGAGTTCTTTGGCAAGAATTCCATTATTCTAATCGACGAATACGATTGGCCTATGGAAAATACAAGAGGATTTTATGATTCAGCTAACGATTTTTTTAGAGTAATGTACTCAAGTGTAGCTAAGGTAAGCATATGTATTGTAATTAACTGATTGCATATGTGCTTGTTAAAACTACAAAAATTCTATGCAGGAAAATAGTTACGTGCATAAGATCCTGTTTGTTGGGACTCTCTCACTAGAACAATCAAGCTTTCTTTCCGGATTAAACAATGTAGTAACCTATCCAATGCATGAAAGACCAAGCCGTTCTGGCCGTGCTATTTTCTCTGATACATTTGGATTTACCGAAGAGGAAATTAAGTCTTTGCTAGAAAGAAAACATCAAAATGAAAAACTTAATGAGCTATGTCTTTACTATAATGGAGCACTAAAGTGCACATTTACAATCCACATTCAATAATATCGTATCTAGAGAAAAATGAAATTGATAATTATTGGATCAATAGCGGTTCTGCAACCACACTTGTAGAATACCTAAAAAAGTGTGGGTCAGGAGTCAAAGATCGGCTCCATAATATTATCCATTCCCACTCCTTCTGTCAGGGTCAAGATGTGGTTGAGTCTGTAGGTCAAGATGAGTCTGTAGTAGGTCTAGATGTGGAATTAATGCCATATCTCCGATACAATGACCTTGATACGAAGCCAGAGATAAACGCATTATGTACTTTATTATACTATAGTGGTTACTTGACTATGGCTCCAGGGTCATACTGTGAAAAATGTTAAACTAGTAATCCCAAATAGAGAGGTAGCATGCCAATGGATTTTGTGGATTTTTGAGATTATGGGTATGAATTATGCGAAAACAAACGAAATCTACGAATCATTGTTTAAAAAAGATATTGCTACATTTTGTAACAAATTTCCACCGCTTTATATGGAGTTGATATCTTGCTTTGATATTGGTGATCTCAAAAGATGTAGGTTATATGAAACTTGGTACCATATATTTGTTCTCGGAGCACTTGCTATGTACCATGGCGTTGAATACCGGGTTGAAGTTGGGGTTGGCCGTCCAGATGTCCGAATCATTCCAATTGTCCAAAATAAAACCGTTAGCATAACGTATGTATTTAAGCGTGCTGAAAATGATGACTCCGATATAATGAAAGGTGCCACCACAGATGCGCTAGATCAAATTTTTGTCAAGGGTTACCGGATGAGTCTTCCGGATCATGTCAAGGAAATAGTTGAAGTTGGCATTGCCTTCTGTGATAAAATAGCTTTTGTCTCAGGCAGTTGCCCAAAACGTACGAAAGAAGGACTTACAACGTATGAAGATTGGGAAGTTGTTAGTGAATGGGAAACTGGAAAGATGGAATAAATGAAAGAATAGGAACCATTATCACACTGCATTACTGATAATAAATATATTAAAATTTAAATAAAATTCAAAAGATTTAAGCAATATTTTATTAATACATATATAAATAATTAATTGTTAATAAAAATTAAAATATAAAAAAAAAATGGTTAAATCTTAATTGAATAGATTAAACAAATATAACTTTCTGATTCAATTTACAATTGCAATTTTTAGAATTAAGAAAAAATCGGAATAATAATAATGTTATATATATATAATCTTAGATTTATAGCTTCAAATCATTATTAAAATATAATTATGATAGTAAAATATTGAAAATAAAGGACCAATTTCAAATACTTTCAGTCACGTACCATGCACATTTCACAATTATACTTTTGCGATATATATAGGACAAAGGTTAAGTTTGCGTTAGAAACGATCTCATCCATTATCATTATTATTACATATGATTACAAATAAATGTGAAAATTTTAATCTCCGATTAGGAGCAGAAGTTAACATTTGTATAAGTAATTTTAGTAAATATTATATTGTTTATATAGCAAAAAACAGAAAATTTAATATGGGATTGGATTAGATCTAATCAAATTAAAACACAATTTTTTTTAATATATGTATTCCTCTCAAATAAAAAAAAAGAATCACAACTTTTCATCTTAGATTATTTAAAACCCATAAGTAGAAATACTTTGTTGGACTTTCGACAAATCTTCGGCCTTATTTTTTAGGGCCCGTGATTTAATATTTGCCAATTTCTTTTTACGTTCATAAAATTCTTTACTCTTGACTTTACGTTTCTCTTCAAGTTGCTCAATAACTTCACCATATTTCCATCCAACTTCATTAGAGAGGCGAGAAATTGTAGTAAATTTACGACCAGGTTTCAATCGTAAAACTCTCAAGGCATCAGGAACAACCATACGCTTCGTCTTATCGTATGGAGGTGGTATTCCTTCAAAGATCTTAAGACGTTTCAAAGCTTCTGTACCCCGCGAAGTCTTATGCGGAATCATTCCGCGTATAGTCTTATAAAAGATTTTAGAAGGTGCTCGAAAGTGAAAAGGACCGCGTGCTGGGTTGACAATCATACGTTTACGGAGATAATCATGGTACTTGACTTTCGTTAATAAATTAATACAATGTTAATAAATTACAATAAATTATCAAAATCTGATTAACAATAAATTAAACCTACTCTTATTTCTGAAAAAAGACCCTGATACATTCAATTCCTCAGCACGAACAATTACAACTTTTTGACCATTTAATATTTGCTTTGCTACAATAGATGCCAATCGCCCGAGCAAGTGACCTTTGCCGTCTACAACAACCACCTGACAATATATATCGAAAATTAAAAATAACCAAAAATATATATATATATATATATAGCAACCACCCAACAATCCTACATTAAACTGATAAATCACATGTTCTTATTTGATAAATAAAAAATGAATACCTTTTCAAAAGTGCTCATTGCTAGAATCACTATATTTAAAAGAGGATTTGTCTTTTATGGAAGAAAGAGAAAGTTTCATCTTTATCATTTGGTGGATTTTTTTTAAAAAAAAAAAAGATTGTATCACGAATCTGTGACGTAAATTTAACACGCGCAATGATTGGCCAGAATTTGAGATTACACAAAGTGTTGGCAAATTTTCGGTGGGTCAGATCGAGATAAATAGTTTTTGCTTTTCACTTCGAACCTATAGTAAATAAATATGCGTTCTTTCCTAGGATTTGCTCTCACACTCTTATCAGTAATATGCCTTGCGGCGGCGCATACAATTACACTTCCAGCTCATGTAAAAGAATGCTTTTTCGAAGATTTACATCTTGATGATAAAATGACAATAACTTTTCAAGTTGGCCAAGGAGGACATTTAGATGTCGATTTTTGGGTAATTAATCTTGAATTATTTCTTAATAATAGTAATAATTGTTTGCTAGATATTTTTATAAAAATGGGGCAATTATTATAAAGTTTTTACACAAGACTCACTTATTGAATTAGAAAAATTATAATACATTTAATTCAATTGGCAAGTCAAGTTTTCACTGATAATTATCTTTTTTATTCTAAAGATATCAGATCCTTCCGATCGTATTATAGAAAATGGTCAAAAACAAACTACAGGGACATATAGTATAACAGCAACTAAAGATGGTCGATACACATATTGTTTTAGTAATGAGATGTCTACAGTTTCTGAAAAGACCGTTAGCTTTAATGTTCATGGAATTGTCTACGTTCCGGATGATGGATGTATGTTCCACGTTTAAAATAAACCTCATATCGAGAAAACAAGATGTCTAAAATTACTCAATTATAAATTTTCTAGCGCACACTGACCCATTAGAAAAAGAAATACGTGAATTAGCTGATGGTCTTGCTGCTATCAAAGACGAGCAAGAATATATCGTTATTCGAGAACAAAGGCATAGAGATAGTAAGTATTTTTTTTTTTATTTCATGCAAAATTTCTTGGGCTCCTATTAATAATTATTATTTCTTTTTAGCTGCTGAAAGTACAAATGATCGAGTAAAATGGTGGTCGATTTTCCAATTTTTCGTTCTTTTCGGTGTATGCTTTTGGCAAGTGTTTTATTTAAAAAGATTTTTTGAAGTCAAACGTGTAGTGTAAAATGATATTTTATAAGTAAGCATTTTTATTTTTATTATATATTTTTATTTTTTTTTTTAAAAAAAAAAAAACTATTTTAAAGTGTGTGTAACAGGCGTGTCAATTGTCGCGACTGTTTCCAAAGTTTCCAAAATTTCATTAAATAATTAATAAATTGTGCAGAAATTATTATTTTAGTATATTTAGACTAATCACACGATGATGAATAGATTTAATTTTGAGAATTCGAAATAGTCGAATGCGGGTTATAACAATTTTTTGATTTTTTTTTTTTAAAAAAAAAAATCAAGAGATTTTAGATTGAATAAATTATGCATTTGATCTTTTCTCTAAATAATTCTTGACAAGTTTCTCAACATAACCGCCACCGGATTTTTGTACATCGCCAAAAAGCATTGGCTCAACAATTCTTTCAACGTACTTTCCAAGCATATCTACTTCTACATTTACTCTCTCGCCAACCTTCTTTGTTGGCATGATCACGTGAGATTGCGTATATGCCACTAACATGATACTGAACCAACTTTCATCATCATTGACTTCACAGATGGTAAGAGATGTTCCATCAAGACAAATATATCCTTTTGGAATAATATAACGAAGGTAAGATTTATCGCTTGGTGATAATCTGACCCAAAGAGAGTTTCCTTCTGGCGTTACGGATAAGATTGTTGCAGTTGTATCAATATGCCCTTGTACGAAATGTCCACCAAATCTTACGTTTGCTGCAATTGCCCTTTCCAAATTTACATTATTTCCAACTTTTAAATCACCTAAAAATTTTTTGTTTGTTTTAATAAAATGTTGAAAAAGATTGAAATACAAGCAAATACACACCAAGATTTGTTCTTCTAAGTGTTTCCGGTGCAAGTCCAACTTTAAACCATGATTTTTCAAATGCTGTTACAGTCAGACAAGTTCCTTTTTATATATATATAAAAAAATACGTATCGTTGGATTTGATTTTAATCTAGTGAAGCAAATCACAGAGAGAAATTGAAGAAATCATACCATTTACAGAAATGCTATCACCTAGACGACAATCAACAAGTATATTTTCAGAATCGCCAACTTTCATTGACCAACCACCACCACCCGAACTCGAAGTATCTAATTGTTGGATTTCAACAACCGTGCCCATATGTTCTACTATTCCAGTGAACATGTTTGCAAATGACTTTTTAATAAAAAAAAATAAAGTTTCGTTTGTGTGTGTAATATATTTATATTCTTTGATCAGGGATGCGTACAGAAATACCGGAAATTCCATGGAATTATTAATTAGTCAGCATTAACTATTAGTGATTACATAAAATCTATTAGTAAACTTTTGCCATTACTCATACTACCTTTCGAAAGATCGCTTTTACCTTTGGTGTGTTTCACAAGATACTTTCACATAAGAGATGGTCTTTGTCAATTAAAATAATTCATAGTAGTTTCCCGATCCAAAATTTTCTTACCGATTAGGCAAATTTAACTCGTTGATTTTTCGCGCCATAACTTTATTTATAGATTTCTTTTTTGAGGCGACTCAAACAAAGAGTCCATCTAAATTTGGTTGTTTATTTCGTGTCTTAAGGTGATGTCGAATTGTCAAAAAAACCGATGGTCACGTGATTTAAAACAACGCGTTGTTTGATCCAATCAGTGACGTGTTCTTGTTGACACCCCTGATCATCAAATTCTAAATAAAATGGGACTCCCTCCACCTCTCTAGCTCGCTTTTCAAAAAAAAAAAATCTCTTTATTAATAATTAATTCACACACCTCTTTACTTATCTCACCTCGTAACCTCTTTTAGTAAAATACATACACATACATATACATATATACATATATATATTTTTTTTTTTAGTAATAATGACTATCCTCAAGGAAACAAGAGAAAACAAGAACGAGAACAAGGAGAACAAGGAGAACGTTGCCATCAAGAAAAAGATGACAACGCATAAACCCGCTCAAAAGACTGTTATCAATATCGATGATGAACCTTTATTAAAACCGAATCCAAGACGATTCGTTTTGTTCCCCATACAATTTCATGAGGTATATACGCGTTCTTGTTCAAATTATACTTTTTTTTTTTTTTTTTTTTTCTTCCCTTTTCTATCTCTCTCAACCCGTCACTTACCCTCGTTTTCTCGCTCGATTTAACCTTTCAGATATGGCACATGTATAAAAAAGCCGAAGCTTCCTTCTGGACCGTTGAGGAAGTTGACCTTTCCAAGGATATTCCTGATTGGGAGAATAAGCTCAACGATGATGAGAAATATTTCCTCTCGCACGTTTTGGCTTTCTTTGCTGCCTCGGATGGTATTGTCAACGAGAATTTGGTGGAACGTTTCAGCAACGAGGTTCAGATCCCGGAAGCAAGATGTTTCTATGGGTTTCAAATCATGATCGAAAATATACATTCAGAAATGTATTCCCTCTTGATTGATACTTATATTAAGGAACCAGCACAGAGGGATTATTTGTTTGACGCCGTCGAGAACAGTATATATCGAGATTCCAAAAAAAATTTTTTCTTTTTTTTTTAAAAAAAAAATGAATTGCTTTCTTTGACCCATCAGCTTATCTGATATATAAATTTTTTTACCCTTCTCTTTTCTAGTTCCTTGCATTCAAAAGAAAGCCAACTGGGCCCTTAGATGGATTTCAGATAAAAAATCTTCATTTGCTGAACGTCTTGTAGCGTTTGCTGCCGTCGAAGGGATATTCTTTTCAGGAGCTTTCGCGTCAATCTTTTGGTTAAAGAAAAGGGGATTGATGCCAGGATTAACATTTTCCAACGAATTGATTTCTCGTGATGAAGGATTACATTGTGACTTTGCATGTTTGTTGTTCTCTCATCTTCGTACACGACCTTCAATAAAAACAGTTGAAGCTATTATAATCGAAGCGGTTACAATAGAGCAAGAATTTCTAACAAGTGCGTTACCGGTTAAATTGATTGGTATGAACGCGGATTTAATGAATCAATACATCGAATTTGTAGCTGATAGGTTATTAGTGGCACTTGGTGGAACGAAATATTATAAATCGGAGAATCCGTTTGATTTTATGGATTTAATTAGTTTACAAGGAAAAACTAATTTCTTTGAAAAACGCGTATCAGATTATCAAAAGGCTGGTGTCATGAGTAGCAGAACTTCTTTGGGAAACAACGCCGCTGATAATATGTTTACTCTTGATGCAGATTTTTAAGAAGAAAAACGAGAAAGAAATTGAAGATGATGTAATGTGCTTGCTTGTTATTCAAATTTTTTTTTTTTTAATGTGTACTAGAAAATCAATTATATTAAGCTTATAAATAAAAAAAAAACAAATGCTGTAAAATTTACCAATTCAAATTATTACGAAAAATTATTATATTTAATAAAATGATTTTTTTTCGTTCACAAAAAAAATAGTTTTACTAAAAAAAAAAAATAAAAAATCAATGCAAAAACAAGGAAAAAAAAAAATAAAAGAGAATAATATAATATAAAAATAATAAAATTATATGAAACTAAAAAAATAAAACAAAACTATCTAAACAAAAAAAAAAGATAATCCAAAAAAAAAAAACTGTACAAAATAGTGTTGAACGATTATCATTCACACGTTTTAAAAAAAATCTTTTTACAAAAGGGAAATAATATGGAGATATATTTTTTTTTTATATACGGTAAATGAAATTCGAAAACAAAAAGGATAAAAAGAAAACTATGCACACAAATATTCTTTTGTATATAATAAGAAAAATTATTAAAGTTTTTAATCACTATTATTTTTTTTGTCTACGCGATTGACTTTTCAATCGTCGTAAATCAGTTATGTATAAAAATGTAACAATAAACGAATAGATACTCGAAGATTGTTTGAATCATCAAAAAAAAAAAATTCATCACTATCATTAATTCCTTTCTCAATAAAAAGTTCCTCTTTGGCCAAGACTCGATTGACCCAATACTTGAGATGATGGAGGGACATCTAGATGAGGATGGAGATGATGCGAGTGACCGTTATTATTCCCATACCCATTTGTCTGAGATTGTGATTCTAATAACCTCCTTGGTGGACTCAAAACATTTGATGGATTGCCGTTTACTGGAGCACAGACAGGTTCTGAATGGAGATTATGATTATGGTGTGGAGACATTCCAGGTAAACGATTTGACCCACTTTGTGGCGGACCGGGTGAAGGTGTATGATTATGATAATGACTTGCAGGTGGGCCTTGTCGTGAAGGATTCATCGCGGGTGATTGAGGTATAGGAGCTGATGATTTAGCATTGTAAGAATTTCGTGAAGAGCCCGACATGTATACAGGTGGCGCCGGCGGCGTTTTATCGTACGAATTTCGTGAAGATAATGGATCATGAGGTGATGGCATATACGTGGGTTGGGGTGGATTTCGTGAACTTAATGGGTCAAGAGGTGCCGGCATATATACATGTTGAGGTTGACTTGATTGAGATACTGCTGGGTGATGAAAATGAGTATGTGAATGTCCATGGTGTGTATGGCTTTGATGATTTGTATCTTGTAATGAATAATAATGATGATGATGTGGTGGTGGTGAATGTGAATTTGAAGGATGATTATGATGGTGATGGTGTGATGATATATGTGATGAAGGAATTTGCATTGGTGGTAAAGTTGTTTGCGGATGAGATATGCTACCAGACCTTGAAGTTGATGGTGTTGAAGTTCTATTTGATGGCTCTGATAATGAAGATAAAACGTTTGGTCTCTGTGATGATGAATGTTGAACGTTCGCAGATGACTGTATTGGTGGAGAGTTGTGAGAAGAACCAGTTAAACGTCGTTGTGTATGTGGTAGTGGTGGTGGTTGTTCTACTAGAGAAACTCCATTAGGGTAAACGTGGGACGCATTACGTGAGCCTGAAATTGCATTAACATTTGAATGCGGGTGCGTAGGTGGATCAGGTACCCTACGTTGTTGAACTCCTGAATTGGCAGCAACCTGTTTAATATTCAAAACGTGTATATTGATAATATATGTTAATCAATGCTAGCGTTAAACATAGTGGATCTAGTTATATTTACTTACCTCGGAAGAATGCATAAATCCCGAATTACTCGGAGGATAACCGTCACGAGAACCATATAAATTACTCCCATTAACTTGTGACACCATTACATGATCATTATTCATCGGTGAACCGTTTGGCATGATTTGTCTGTTCATGACGCTATTATTCTGCGGCGGTGGAGTTTGTGATTGCAAATGGCCATCTTTACATTTACCGTTTTCCTGTTGAGAAGAGCATCAGAAAGAGAAAGACCGGACACGGACGAAACAAATAATAAAAATAGAAGAAAATGATGTAAAGTTAGTATGATCAAGTACATTGAAACTACGCGTCTAAGTCTTCAAGAACAAGATCAAGGACAAGATGAAAAAAAAGGATTACGGACCATTTGATTATAAATCATGTAAGGGATATAAGCGTGCGTGGCATTTCGTTTTAATTTCGGATCATGCTTCTGTTGCAAAAATATTAAACGATCACATATCATTCCAAATAAAGAAAGAACGAACGAACGAACGAAAAAAAAGAAACAGCTATATAGGAAGATAATAATAAAATAATAAAATAAGATCACACGAACCATATCTTGATATTTCTTATAAAACTGGTTGCTGAATGCACTATGCTGTCCACTTATGGATGGCATTCCATTTTGTATCGGTGGAATTTGTGGTGGTGGTTGTTGCGAAAGTTGCGGAGGGATATCCTGTCATTTACGGGGGAAAGGGTAAGCAAACGGACTTGTCCGACTCACGAAAATAACCGACAAACGTTTTTGAATATTTTTATATATATACCACATGAGCTCCGGCCATTCCGCCAACTCCGTGTCCGTGTGGGTAACCATTAGGAACATGAACGGGTAGACCAGGGGGAGGTGGGGAAGAAGTTTTGCTCCCCGGCCTTTCATTGGTACCCATTAAAAAATTTTTAACATTTAATTTTTGTGAATCGCCATGCATTGGAGGAGAACTGACATTCTTTGCCATTGTAAAACGATTTTCGTTCTGTATTGGTATACTATGAGAAGATCGAGCTTGATGATATGAATGTGAATGAGGTACGCGATCCCATTCCATGGAATAATTGTGTACGGCTGATTAAAGACATTCAAGCATCAAAGTTAATCGTGTGAAAAAAGTATTTGAAATGATCAACTTGTAAACCATTATTAATGACCCACCTGGTATACGATTTGGGAATCTCTCTTCACCCAAATGCTCCCTCAACTCGGTTAATTTTGGACCGCCGGAAGTTGTTGGAGGACCATGTGAGAAATGATTTAGTTCCGGATTACGATGTACCTTGGGTCTTGTATCTATTTGTCACACGAGAAATTTTAAAAATAAAATTCTTTCAAATATACATAATAACTTTATAACGTACTAGTGAAATCAACCGCGTCAGAAGGTCTACGTTTCTGTGGACTTTTCTTTTGAATCCCTTTTGGTTCCCTTTGCGGAATCTTTGTGGTGTTCACGACCAAAGACGCCGATCCACCCTATTTTAGAAAATCAAGTCACGTGAATTCACGAACAGATCTGATTTCCGAAAGAGAGAAGTATCAACTTACGGATAACTTCTTTGTATGCTTTCTAATATTGTGATTGGATGAACCGTTAAAATGACCGCAATCCAAATTTTGTTGACTCTGATGGTGCGAATGTATATCACCATTTCTCATCTCCTCGGGATATGATTCTTGATGCTGTTGCTGATACCTTTGCTGCGACGGTTCCTGCATGAATTGATAAGAAAGAGGTTAGAAAGGTTTTTAGATATATTTAAAACAACAACGGTATCAAATGTATATACATTAACCAACGATCCATTTGGAATCGAACGCCCGGAATCCGAGGAAGAAGGTTCTTCACCACCTAAAAGATTGACGGAAAAAACTGTCGTTAATCGAGTGATCACGTGTACATTTTATCAAGGAAATTATCCGTTAATGACAACTAACCCAGTAATGAGGCGATGGACATTGAATTACTTTTTGCTCTCTGCCTTTGCTACAACAGGAAGGGGGAAAAAAAAAAGAAAGGAAGATCATTATTACAAAAGAATCGATGATTGGAAATATACATGTGAATACACGGATTAGAACTCACATGTTGTGGAATTGATTTTACACTATTTGAAATGTTTGATAAAGAAGAAATGGTAGCAGCAATCTCCACGTCGGACATTTGCTGTTCATTATCTTTGGAAGGGTAATAATCCCTTGACTGATTATTATAATGAGAAGTTGACTGTTGAGGTGCGGTATTTGGATTAGACAGAGATAATAGGATCGAACCGGCCTCAGCAGCTATAGAATCATCGATTGAGTAAGGTTGATTATTTTGTTCCTGTTGCTGTTGGTGCTGGAGCTGTGAGGGTTGTTGTTGCTGCTGTGATTGATGCGAGCGAGGGTGATAATAATCACGTTCGCTTGAGTAGGTGCCACCATAACCCGTATTACCGGCGTTACCATTAACACCATTATTACCAGCACCATGGTGATATTGCGGTGGTGGTAGAGGTGACTGTGAATGTTGAGAGAGAGACGCGTGTTGCTGTGTGCGAGCGTGTGAAGCGGGACCGTCATCAGACAGTATACTCTTGAGACTAAAACCACCGGAACCCGAAGTTTGGTTATCGTTCATAACGTGTGATATTGATGCCTTACGAGAATGCATATTTATATTTTTATTTTATTAAGCCTGTGTATAGTGCGTGTATAATAAGAATCCTCCAGTGTGAGAAATTTTTTTTTCTTGTTTCTTTTTCCAATATATTACTTTACAAAAAGAATAAGTGTTTTTTTTATTATAAAGAATTTTCAACAGAAACTAAGTTGACATTTCAAAAAGAGGAGGCGGCAAGATAGAATCTTTTTTTTTTTCTTTTTTTCTTTGTTTTTTATTCAGTGAGAGAAAAAGTCTAAGAAGTGAAGAGTGAAGAAGAAAGTATTAAAAAAAAAAAAAAAAAAAAAAGAGAAGTGATAATGTAATAATAATAATAATAATAATAATAAAAATAATAATAATAACACACGAAGAAAAAATTGAACGATTATTTTTATTTTAAAAAAAAAAAAAAATTTTTTTTCTTTAAAAAAAATTTACAACAGGATAGAGTATCAAGTCAGATTATTAGATCCCAATATAAAAAAAATATAATAATAATAATAATAATAAAAAATTAAACGTGTGTATAATTGTGTATAAAATAATTTAAAGTACTTTTGAAAAATATATACATATTTTTGTTTGTTGTTGTTTGATAAATAAAATATCTAATATAAAAAAAAAAATTTTTCACAAATAACATAAATTGTGTTTTATTGTTATTGTAATATATAATAATTTTATTTGATGTGAAAACAAGTAAAATATGATGGTGTGGTAAAAGTCACAATTGTATAGCAAGGTGTATATATGGGTTATCTTTTGGAAACACAAGAAAATAAGTTAAAGTATGTTCTAAAGGTTGGAGATAGATTGTCATTTGTAATATAAATAAACTCATCTTAAATGTCAGGAAAAAAAAATACAAATGCAGAGGTATGCAAAGGACACTCATGCAAGCGTTGAAAGGCCCCGCATAATGCCGCCACATACAAAGGAAAAAAAAATTCAGTATGTAAGCAACAAGATTGTGTAATGGAAATGTAATTGTACTATAATTAACTTAACAGTATATGTTTGTGAAACTTCATCATAAAATAGTCTGTGTTCACATCGATTTCTCATTATGGACTTTAGCTTCATGAATCATAATTTATTTATTTATTTCTTTTTATTTATTTATTTTTTTTTTTCTCTCGAGAAAAAAAAAAAAAAAAAAAATAAAATTTTTTTTTTTTTTGAAGAGAAATTCAAACAATAAAAAAAACAATCATACATAAAGTGTTACAAATATTTTGAAGTAAATAATAAACTTATTTTTTTTCTCTCCTGCACAGAACTGTGGTTTATTGAAAATTAAGAGAAGGCGTCAAAAAAAAAAAAAACCTGAAGGATGAACTCTAAACATCTGTTGTTGTGTTGTGTTTCCTAAAATCATCACGTCCGTTTATATGCTTTAAAAAGTTCAAAATTCTTGTGATTTTTTTTTATTTACTAAATATATAATGTGATATCACGAGTGTGACCATTCAAAACGAGCTAGTTCGCTCATGGTGTGGTTATGGAAAACAATCTATCCACCAATTTGGCAATTTTGCCCACTTTGCCCCGCATATTTTCGATGGATTTCCCTGTGTGACCTGAGATCTGGTTTCACTGCGCCATGCTTCCCTTCGTCTTTCAAACTTTTGAGGCATGTGGGGTTATTCCCGACCGTGAAATCAGACTTGCCCAATTCGTTCCGTTCAGCCATTTGGGATTTTCTCCCTTTTCACTTTTTAAAGAGGTTGAAGATGGATCCGTCGACATCCAGCCCCTTGTCGCATTGTAATTCCTTTCATTTGACATGGAATTCCTTTTTTTTTTTTTTGATTTCTTACAAGAGGGTGTGTGTATAATAAATCATTAAAAAGAGGGGGAGAAAGGGGCATTCCGCCGATCCCTTTCTGATTTTCAACCTTTACCCGCACTTCAAAAGACGTATTTTTTTTTCTCCTACATATATCAATCACCGGGCATTATTTGCATGCAAACTATGTGGTCACATGTTGTGACACCCATTCTCTATTTAATTTAATTTCATTTTATTTTGGTACTTTGTCTCCAAAATTGGTCAATTCATCGTCGATTCCATCAAATTTTTTTTTTTTTTGTTTCCAAGCAAGTTAGATCAAATGTTGGAAATAATAGCGCGTGAAACATTAACTAATGGTGACATTTTAATTTAACATTGAATAAATAAATAAATATTAAAGTTAGCGCACCAAATTGATTCTTGATTATTTACTTGATTAAGCTACATATGTGTGACACGCTAAACCGTTGGGATCTGCCATATAACTTGATTTTTATTTTGTTATAGTTTAAAAACTTAAAAAAATAAAAAAAAAAACATAAATGATTTCATCATTACCAACTTTGTTTGACGTGTGCTCTGAGATTCATTTTGTTAAAAATCATCACCTCGTGGTTCTCAACAACAAACCACCCATTATATCTCATACTGTAAATCCACCAAAAAAAAAATAGCCCGAAATTATGTGATCTGTTTCATCGTCAATGGATAAACCCCCTTTTCAATTGGAAAGTCCAAAACGAATAAACAAGATGATTCCTTTAAAAACTACACTATTATCTTCTATAAGGAAAAAGGAAAAAAAAAAAAAAATTAAAAATCATCTGAAAAAACAAATCAAAGTCCGCTGATCAAAACACATCAAATAATGAAATGGATGAGGGAATGATGAACAAAATGAATTGGTACCTGTTTTTTTTTTTTTTTTTCTTTTCCTTTCTATGTACAATCAATTTTTCTCTCGACGGAAAAGAATTCATTCCTTTTTTCAAACGCACCATCTCTTTTTTTTTTTTTTCATCAAGATGTTGAAATACCCTTAGAAGAGTCCCTTTATCCATATGGAGATTCTGTGATAAATATGGTTACCCAATTATTATTATTTAATTAATTATTTACATGTAAATCACTTTTAAACCAATTTCTTCATTTATTAAACAATCATTTTTTTTTTTATTTTTTTTTATTGGAAACAAGAATCCAACCTTGATATTTGTCAAATATGATATCAAGAATAAATGATGTTACCTGATTCGGTTCCGGCTCATGTTGCCTGTTTTACGTTTATTTGTGAACAAATAAAAACTCGTTTATGCATGTTCAGGAAATGTTTTTGCCATTTTTTTTTTACCCCTGATTTTCACTCCATTCATGATTTCAAACGAGTTTTTTTTTTTTTTTTTTTTTCATTCTCTTTTGTCATATCACAGGAATGATGAAAATAAAAGAGAATTGATTGGAAATTCATCCCCCCCTCCTTTAAAACTCGCAGGATATTTTTCCGCCAAAAAAAAAAAAATAAAATAAAATAAAAAAAAAAAAATATAAACTGGTTCAATTTCCTTACGTAATTTTTAATTAAAGCTGTTTTGGACTTCATTTTTAATTTCACCCCACATTTTTTTTTCATCATCTTTGATAAAAATAAATCGGAACACACACAATACATGCAATTTTTTTTTTTTTTGAAAAAAAAAAATACAAATAAAGATGTAATAAATATTAATTTAATGTACTTTGTACATACTCAAAAAAAAAAAATATCCCCTTCTCCCCACACATAATCTGTAACAGGACTTTTTACAAAAAAAAAAAAAGTATAAGTATGGAGTGGATCATGTTATTGTTACTAGGGAATAACGTTCACATCTCAATTTATCCTAAAGAGGGAATTCCTACATACAAAGGTTTTGATTACGTTATCTGTATTTGGCTCATGCTGCGAAATTCATCATATCTCCTTGTGACACGAGAAAGGGTTTTTTTTTTTTAAAACAATTGTGAATATTTTATTTTATATTTTTTTTTTTCGAAACCAATTGAGAGTCCATGAACTACATAATTACATCATAATATGGCGCAAAAAATTTTTTTTTTTTTATCCATTGTTACCATTTTATTAATTAGAATTAGATTCTCAAAATTATTTTTTAATTTAATTAATTTATAAAATGTCAAAAAAATACTTCCAAGATTCGAACTTTCTCAATAGGATCAAATTTGGGTGTTTTGTGTAAGATGGAACACTCGGACAACGACCACCAAAGATGGACACAAAACAAGTTTAAATGACACCAAGTATAAACATCACATGTAAATAAATAACCTCGTGCCATGTAATAATTATTATGAAGATGATAAAATGCTTCAGATCATTATTATTTAATTATAACTTTTGGTTCTTTTCTTTTATTGATGCTGTGCTTGGCACACATTTTTGATGTTTTTTTTTTTTTTTTTAATATAAATAAAATTAAATGGTAATTTTTGTGTTTCATACTAAAAATTTTAGGTTGACGATGTGGTAAATGTTATTTCATGCATTTATTATTAAAATTTTCACATGAAATAGATGAAATCTGGGTGGCAAAAAAAAATAAAAAATATATATTTTTTACTTTATTTCTTTTTTTTTTTTTTTCAAAAATTCGTTTATGTACTATTTATACAAAAACCCTTTTAACGAAAAAGAGAATGGGTCAAGTAAATCGATCTATCGAGTAAAAGGTTACAAATAATAATTGACGTTGGGCGGAAATCAAACAAAAAAAAATCCGCTAAATTCCGCCAATTTCTTTTCTTGGAAGTTAAATCCATCAAAACAAAAAAAAAAACATTGACACAATGAACACAAATAATAAACATGAACACAGAGTCCCCAAATATTTACACCAGTTCCAGTTTACACAAAAAGAAAATAAAAATACATATATATTACCATCCTTGAAAATTCGAATTAATAATGGGTTTTAAAATAAAACCAATTACATTATTTGTTTACCCATTCCCATTTTTCCAATGTATGGTAATAAAATTAAAAAATAAATAATTAAAAGGTAAATAATAATCGAATTGAAATTCCTTCATTTCCATCAAATACGGTGTTGTTTAACCTGCAAGGTTATTAAATATAAAAAAAAAATACCAACACCCAAACAACAGAATTAATAAATATGCAAAGCTACACGATAATTTAATAACTTTATTTGGGCAA